TTTTTCTCAGACTTGTACTTTTATGTTGAGCTTTTTCATTTTAAAGACCTTTAAAAGAGTGTATTCTTTGCCATAAACTTGAAATTACTGCACACTCAAGAGCCTGATAAAAATGCTCATTTTTGAAGGAAATTTTAAACAGCTTTTAGAGGTTTTTGCATCTGAACTCTTCATTTATTTGTACATGTTTTATATAGAAAATGATGCTCACTATCTGTTAAATAGTTTTTAGTTAATCAATTAGTCACTCCCACAAGTCTGAGGGAATTCTTTTGTTTAGCATTATTTAAAAACAAAAATGCCATGACAAATCTGAATGAAACGTTGGACTGAACAATTATTATGAATTTTAAAATGTCTTGGGGAATTTTCCTCTTCCTTTCGCTGGAATGACAGCAGAACTTAAGCTGATAAGCTGCAACTCCACAAGTAAAAGCTGATGATCCATGTTATCCAGCAAGATTTGAAAATGTTCCAAAAGCCAAACGTCTTGTATAATTTGATGGAAGCAAGGACATTTAAGGTCACTTATTATTAACATTATTATTAAGGGTATATAGTGTCTTGTTCATTAGTTAAAATGTTGTGCAATATGGGAAGTGTCACAAATGCACTCTCCACAAACACACAGGAAACAGGGATTATCAAATACATCTTCTAATTTATTAACAAACACTTCACTTAATAGGAACCAGGAACACAGGAATGATAAGGAGGTTCACAAAACAAGACCAAACCCAGACTTACCAAAATTTAGGAGTATTAATATACAACATATGATTAACTAATGACAAACACAGGTGGAAACACAGGTGGAACTAATGAACACTAACACATAATGGGCAAACAGAACAAAGAAATCACATGATACAACAAAAGCACATACTGTAGAACAATATGGCATGACGAAACACAGAAACCTGACAGTAGCTGAGCACCTTTCATTTATTTTGGATTTTTTTTTTCAGATGACCACAATTAACTGCAACAACAAAAAGAACATTAATTTGTCATTTTTATTTCGGCTTTGTCTCGTTAATCTGGGGTCGCCACAGCAGATTGAAACGCCAACTTATCCAGCATTTGTTTTACTCAGCGGATGCCCTGACACACTCATTCACAAACAGCTTTGGACAATTTAGCTTACCCAATTCACCTATACCACATGTCTTTGGACTTGTGGGGGAAACCAGAGCACCGGAGGAACCCACGCGAATGTGGGGAGAACATGCAAACTCTACACAGAAACACCAGCTGACCCAACCAAGTCTGAAACTAGCAACCTTCTTGCTGTGAGGCGACAGCACTACCTACTGCATCGCTAAAAGAACATAAATAAATAAATAATACAAAACATAATAACTTTTATCAATACTATACTTAATGTCTAAATGTACTTTCTAGTATCATACACTCTCAGAAAATAAAATGGTACAATGTTGTACCAAAGAAGGTACAAACCCCTGTCTCAATAGCTTTTGATGGAACAGAATTGTACTTTAAGACAAAGAAACAAATTTGTACCTTTGCAGTTTGTACCGTTAAGGACAAGACTTGTACCATGGACATGACCTTAACAGTGTCAAATGTGTTCCTTCAAGAAATATTTAAAGGCATTTTGCTAAATCCAAAATGTGTCAATTTGTTTTCAGTAAATATGAAACAACAAGCACATTTATGAAACAATGTTTTAATTCATTTATTTTTTAAAATTCATGAATTTAAGGGGCAACGCAGTGGCGCAGTAGGTAGTGCTGTTGCCTATCAGCAAGAAGGTCTCTGGGTCACTGGTTCGAACCTCAGCTCAGATGGCGTTTCTGTGAGGAGTTTGCATGTTCTCCCTGCCTTCGTGTGGGTTTCCTCCGGGTGTTCCGGTTTCCCCCACAGTCATGCGGTACAGGTGAATTGGGTAGGCTAAATTGTCCATAGTGTTTGAGTGTATGTGGATGTTTCCCAGAGATGGGTTGTGGCTGGAAGGGCATCTGCTGCATAAAAAAATGTGCTGGATAAGTTGGTGGTTCATTCCGCTGTGGCAATCCCGGATTAATAAAGGGACTAAACCGACAAGAAAATGAATGAATGAATAAATTTAAGGATCTTGATCTTTTTTTTGCTAAACATTTCACAACACTTCACAAAAATGTTACAGAAATAAATGATCCCATGTTCAATATAAAAGCAATTTTCACCAAAAAAAAAACTTTTGTAATCACTAAACAAGTAATTTAATTTACTTACTTTTAAAATAGAATTAAAGTTTTGCAAAAAGTATCGTGATGAGAAATGCACAATGTTTGATTAGTTTTACAACGCTAATATGTCTGCATGAACACTTTGCATATGATGTACTTTTGTCAGCTCAGGTGCATAGTGGTAAGTAAACGCCAAAAGGTGCGGATATCAATAATGAAACTGTATTCATGTTATCAGAAAATGTTTACCAAATGTTTATAAAAATGCCTTGAATGTTTAGTTTACAATTGTGTACCTTTATTTCAATTGTACAATAAAAGGTTCAGAACAGCATCATAAGAGTTTTTTTTTCTGTACCATAAGGTACAACTTTTAAAAAGGTGCCAAACTGCTCCTTAAGAAACATTATTTGTACCACTATGTACCTTTTTTACTGAGTGTGTATAATGCATTTTGTTTTCATCGGTTGTTTCTATGTGGGGTCAAACATGGACAAACTCAACCATTACACTATATATATATATATATATATATATATATATATATATATATATATATATATATATATTTTTTTTTTTTTTTTTTTTTAATGGGCAGGGGCGGAGTTAGTGATTTGGGGGCCCAAAGCAACTCCAGGTATGGGGCCCTAGCTTTTTAAAAAATAAAAAATAAACTGCATGTTAAAATGTGTATATCATCCTGCAATGTACATCATGAAGTGAATGATTGAACGTGACTTAAACGTGAAGCTTAATTTTAGTTCAGCAATTTATTTTTAAAGACCCAATTATTCAATTATTCATTCGATTTTTTTCGGCTTAATCCATTTAGTAATCTGGGGTTGACACAGCAGAATGAACCGCCAACTTATCTAGCACATGTTTTTACACAGTGGATGCCCTTACAAATGCAACCTATCATTAGGAAACACACATACACACTTATTGACACACATACATTACGGCCAATTCAGCTAATCCAGCATGTTTTTGGATTTATGGGGGGAACTGGAGCACCCGGAGGAAACCCACGCGAACACTGGGAGAACATGGAAAAACTCCACACAGAAACGTTATTATCATTATTATTATTGTTATTATTATTATTATTATTATTATTATTATTATTATTATTATTATTATTAAAGTGTTATTTTACTCGTTACTTAGAAAAAGTTATATTATTATGTAACTCACATTTCTTGTTATTCAGGTACCCCCAACCCTAGTCATAATGTTCTTAAAATGAATTAAAAAGTAGTCTGAATACATGACCTTAAATAAACAGTGTAGTTTATGCTATTAACAGTGGTGGAAAAAAGTATCAAAAAATCATTGTAAAAAAACAAAAAGTACCAATTTAAAAAGTACCATTACTTAACCAAACCAACCAATCAACAAACAAACAAACAAACAAACAAACAAACAAACAAACAAACAAACAAACAAACAAAGTTCAAAAGTATCAAAAATGTATATCTAGTCTATTATGCCCTTCTAACTTTTTTTTATTCAGCAAATGTATACATTTCCTTTTATTAAGTAAACAATGCCTTTTCTTATTGGGCCACTTGATTTTTTGAAGTGTGCTTGGCCAAAAGGCTACCATGCAAATCTTTGACACTGCACATGTTTGCTGAATGAAAGCATCTGTGTTGTGAGGTCTGTCTGATATGATTATCCTATACATGATTTGATTGGATGGAAATCGGCTGATTTTCTACTTAGTCGATCACCGTAGTCACAAAAAATAAGCATATATATATTCTTACACATACATACACATACACGCACACACACACACCACAGCCATGTCACCCTGCAGCCCAAGACCGGTTACTCACTGAAGCTAAGCAGGGCTGAGCCTGGTCAGTACCTGGATGGGAGAACACTAGGGAACACTAGGTTGCTGTTGGAAGTGGTGTTAGTGAGGCCAGCAGGGGGCGCTCAACCTGTGTTTTGTGTGAGTCCTAATGCCCCAGTAAAAGTAAAGGGGACACTACACTGTCAGTGCGCGCCGTCTTTCGGATGAGACGTTAAAACCGGGGTCCTGACTCTCTGTGGTCATTAAAAATCCCATGGCACTTCTCGTGAAAGAGCAGGGGTGTAACCCTGGTGTCCTGGCCAAGTTTCCTCTATCGGCCCTTACGATCATGGCCTCCCAATCATCCCCTTCCACCGAATTGGCTCTATCACTGTCTCTCCACTCCACCAATAGCTGGTGTGTGGTGAGCGCACTGGCGCCGTTGTCCTGTGGCAGCCGTCGCATCATCCAAGTGGATGCTGCACACTGGTGGTGGTGTGGAGAGACCCCCTCATGATTGTGAAGCGCTTTGGGTGTATGGCCATACACAATAAATGCGCTATATAAATACACATTACATTACACACACACACGCACACGCACACACACACTTTGCACTGTCTGTATTTTGCACTGTTGTTGTATTTGTCTTAATTTTGTACTGTCTGGAGCGCCAACACCTAAGCTCTTCATCATCACAGCACATGCTGCTGATGATGTGACAATAAAAGTGATTTGATTTGATTTGACATATATACATACATATATATTTACTTACATATATAGTCTGTCATTGGGAGTGGAACCAATGTACTAAATGACAAATAAACTTGTTTGTCTTTTTTCTTTCAATGTTGCTTAAAATACCTGTTTAATACATTCTACAAATACTTAAATACTTGCTAGTTGTTATGTATCACAACAACATTTACCACTAAAGGCTTTACTTTTTCTCTGTGGCAGTTTGGACCAACTAGCTTTTCCCTCCCCTTTTTTTCTGACAGTGGTTTTACCAGAGATTATACTCCCAGAAATCTGCATCTTGACTCTATGGGGCGTCTGCGGTGCGTTGACGTAGAAGGCGGAACTATCGTAAGAGCGGCTGAATCGTTCCTGCTGTACTTCAGCACGGAGCGTAAACACTGAGACACTCGCTGTCAACTTCAAACATGTGGAGGTTGTTACATTGTATCCTCGGCTTCATCAGGCTCTACTTAGATGGCGTGAAAGTCCTGCTATACCAGCTTTTCAACAAATCTTTCAGGCTGCCAGGTTAGAGGTTTTTATCGTTACGATTGAGATGTGCTCCAACGAGCGGCTATTTTATGTGTGCAACAGCTGTCAAACATCTATTCTGTAGTAAAGCTGTCCGATGCAGTTGGGGAAAGTTTGAGTCGCTTAAAGAGACAGCACACACGGAAATTAAAATAATGCTTTGATTTAGTCACCTTCATGTTTTTCTTAATGATATCTTTATGATTTTTCTTCCCGATAAACCTTAAATGAGGACTGCAGAATAACAGCGTCAGTCTCAATTTGTTAATGTTTCTATATTATTATTATTATTATTATTATTATTATTATTGTTATTATTATTATTATTATTATTATTAGTAGTAGTAGTAGTAGTAGTAGTAGTAGTAGTCGTACTTCGCGTTTTCTGTTGAATAATTGAAAATGCTCAGTGAGTTATTAATGTATTTATTTACTCTATTCTAGTTAATTTTTTTAAGCATCTCCTTATATATTCCATTTATCCCCTTTTTAATATTTAAACACTTTGTATATGTATTGATTTTTTGACTGCTTGCTGACAATTGTTGCAATTGCTTAAGAGCAATTCCAGCTATAGATGAAAAACATAAATTCACAAAGTAACTACGTTAATATTTTATTGAAACATCTGTTTATATTTTCCAAAACAACTAAGCAAAGAATTATGGGTTCAGAAGAATATCAATCTGTAAACATATTTCATATTTTAAATGAGGAAAACAATCAAGCGTTATTACATGACCAAAAAGTTTGCGAGTTTTACCCGTATACAACATACTTCTGTGAATTAAACTGTGCGACCCAACATAAATAATTGATAATCAAAAGGATAAGAGTTGGCTCAATATAGAACAAAGTGGTTGACGTGTGGCATGTTTGTGTTATGGATGTGACAGATGTGAAATTGGCACTTGTGTGATTTTAGTAAATCAAATATAATAGTTTGAAAACATTAACAGAGACATATTTTAAAGCACTGTACAGTACTTGCTTACATACAAAATGCAGAAATGGTTTCAATATTTTGGCAAAACCTTTTTTTTCATGGCAAGGTTGACATTTGCTTGGAATAGCTGTGTTTTTCATTTGCTGTTTAAGGTAGCTTTCTGTAACCTTTGACCTAATAATTCTAAAGCTATACAAGCCACTAATATATTCTTATATCACTTTTCATTTAAAGTAATTGCACAGCAGACCATAATAATTAATGTTTTAAGATTTTTAAAAAGTAAAAGAAAGAAAAAGTAAAGATAAAGCAAGTAGTTTGAATTATCTGAGTCATTCATGCTGGCAGAGATGCAATATGGCTGTTCATCTTTATCACAATCTAATCACATGTTTCTGCTTAGGATAGCTTGGTTGCAAATTCAGACGGCTCTTTATTTAAATTTAAATCACCATTAAAGGGCAACCATGTCCCAGCACGAAGCTCAAGGATTAAACTCAAATCCATCCTTACAATGGACTTTTTGTATCAGAAATATTCAAAGCCCTTTGGGATTAGTTACAAAGGGAGAAAAAGCCTTATTTTTTTGCACATTCTTTGACTTTTTTTAAGGATGACATTAAAATGTGAGCCTTAAAATGAACACATAATTAACTTAATTTTAACTTATCACATATTAACTTTTATTTATAACATGGAAATGTCAACAAGTAGCACTCTTGCTTATTAGTAATGATTATCATAATCTCTCTGCTTCTCTGACCGATTGAGCGGTAAAACATCAATAGTGGACTAGTGGATTTGTTTATGATTATTATTTATTAGAAGTAAAAACACACACTTAGCAAAGGCATGAAGGAATAGCATCATTAGTAGGCTTATTGCAAAAGCTCATGCTGTTCGCAGTACGTTGGCGTTGGATGCAGTTTCTACATTTTAATGATCTCAGAGACCAGTGTAAATCTGAAAACACTTGCAAAGCGCTGACAGGATACGTCCCAAACAAAGACAGTATGTCAGTGTAAAACAACCTTGTTAGGTATGATAAAAATATGTATTTTACATCATTTTCTTGCTTCCTGTCTTGCCCAGATTTGCCCGAGCAGAATGGAAAGGTTGCCATAGTTACAGGGGGAACCAGAGGAATGGGATATGAGATTTCCAGACATCTGGTCAGCCTGGACATGCATGTGATCATTGGTATAGTATCACCTCAAACGTGATTTATGATCAGTGAGCCAAAACTATTCCACTGACGATTTGACCTCAGATCAATTCTTGTGGTCATGCAGCTTGTTAATAGGTTTCCTGCCACTTTTCATTGATTTTTAAAGAGTTATCTATAACATGATGAGCAGTGGGTTTTAAGTACAACTGGTCTGAAGGAGCCAATGAAATTTTAAAAATGAAAACTAAAGATTTAACTGTTGGTCAAAAAAAAGATAACTGAAATAAAATACACAAATCACAATGAATGAAAAACTAAAACTAACTAAAACTAAAACAGTTGCTGAAATAAAATAATAATTAGCAAAATAATATATATTTTTACAATTAATGAGCACGGGAAATCTGACTCGTGGCTGTTTAGAGACGTACTTGTATCACTGCTGTAAATTTACAGATATTTACTACAAAAACCCTGAGTAAAATACAACGTACAGTACATTCTTTACAGTTCACTGCTTTAATATGCACTGCATTGTTGGTCATTTTAAAGCTTTTACAGTAACTTACTGCATATTAAGAATTTCCAGTATTCTACTGTAATCAAAGTAATCAAGTACTGCTAGTGTAATATGATACAATATACAAATAAGACAGTTAATTAACAGTTTATTGAACAGTTAACAGTTAATTAACAGTTAAAATATTAATAACATTTTGTATCATAATTAAAATAGAATAATGACCGTTTAAAATAAATCTAATGACAATGGATAATAAAAAAATACTGTTCTACATGATCTCGTAACTTGTTTGGAATTTTCTTATATTTAACAATACATTTTAAAAAACATAAAAGTTTTGTACTGCTATTGTAAAATGTAAATAAATTAGGTCAAACTTTATTTTGATAGTTTGTTTGTTGAATTTTAGTTACATTGCAACTAATTATTATTAGGTTGGGGTTGGGGTTAGGGTTATTGTAAGTTGACTTATTGACCATTTGAATGTGGTCATTGGCCCATGAAATTTTCCTGTTTGTTATCAAACTATTTCATAACTGTAACAAGAGGAAATTCAGTCACTTAATGTTAAAACAGCTATCATAACATTATTGATCAATATGTGGCTCTTTTTGGATTCTCGGAAGCTATAGAATTTACAAATGTACAACAGGAAATATGTTGGGACTATTGTTTTTGTTTACATCCCTCAAAATAGTCTATAGTAATTTAAATGTCTGTTGAAGAAGCAATATCAACAGATATTAAGCAGACAGACTTCTAATACTCAAATGGACCATCAAATTAAAGTGTTACCATAAATTACAGTAAAAATACTGTGAAATTAAAAAGTGGTAAAGGGCATTTTACTAAAAAAAATAAGCTGTAATAATGCCATTTTCCTGCAAAATGAAATTCCTGTTGAGCTTACTATTGTAAAACATTGACAGGTAAGTTACTGTAAATGCAGCAGTTATGGTAACTTGCTAGTAACAGTGCTGCCAGTAAATTACTGCAAAAATACAATAACATGTCTAGTGTTGATGGTACTTTTATGTTCAAACATATCCTTTATTTGCCAAAATGTAAACAAGTAGTGTTAAACTACATACATGATATTTAAAATAAAGAAGTTTATCTTCATAATTTTTACTGTCATTTATTTTTTATGTAAGTTGTATTTGTGTGGTTTTGAGTTTAGTGTTTGTTCAAACCATTGTTTTATTTTTATGACTGAGGTGGTTTACACAACAGTTAATGTAAGCTGTGCAAACACTGAACTTTGCTCTGGTCAACACTGGACATGTCCTGATAGCAGTGACTGTCCAGTGCCAAAGTGTACGACCTCTTTTGCTCAATGTTTATTTATTTATTTATTTATTTATTTATTTATTTATTTATTTATTTATTTATATATTTATTTATTTTGTTAAGGGGATTAAATTGTGGGTTGATTTACCTGTAAGCCTAAAATTAAAAAGCAATATGAATATTTTTACCAGTCTTCTTAAAAAGTGGTTAAAACAAAACAGCAGTGTTTGGACAAATAGTCTAGTTTGTTTGGTCATGCTGTCTTTGTTTTTGCCTTACAGCAATTTTATGTAAATAATTATAATGTTGTGTGTATATTTATCTATTTTATTTTCATTTTGTCAACCCTCCTGTGGACAGGTGTTGAGAATTAGCAAGTCACTTAAAGAAATGCATTTGGTTGTCTAGTGTAATGGGATATTTGCACACAGACTTTTAAAATCAGTCCGCCAGCCCCATGGCTTCCGGTTAATTGTCATCCCATACAAAATCAGTGTGTTTAAGATCTGATTTCTTTAAAAAAACAGCAATCTTCACTGCCTGGCTGAGATACAATAAAAAGCAGGTATCAAATCAAACAAGAAGCACTGCATAAAATGACATTTTTTCACGCCATGTCTTTAAAATATAAAAATTAATTTTACCCCAGTATTTTCAATGTAATTTCTGTTGCTAAAGAGGGCGCTTGCAATTAAATGGTTGTTTATCTCTGTTAATGCATTAACAACTAAATAAATGCTTTACTCTATTTAACTGAATGTATTTTAATTACATTACTATATCGATGCTGTAAAAGAAACGTTATGAAATTGAAAGTAGTCATATAAAGCTCTAACCGGAAGGTCATCATTGGCTGAAAAACACTAGCTGTGCAAATAGCCCATTGCAATATGCAATAGCAATAGCTCATTGCAATAGCTCATGGCAAATAAATAAATGAAAAATAAATAACAAGGTTTAACTATAATTTTTAAAACCTAAAACTATGTAACAAATATATTCACAAAATGAAAACTAAACTTAAACTAACTTAAGTATTAATGAAATGAACCAAAACTAAACTGAAATTTACAGGAGCTTTTAAAATAACATCAAAATAAAAACACTCATTAAAAAATGCAGCAACCTTAAAAAAGAGCACCAACTCAATTCAAGTGTCTTCTGCCTTGTCTCTCTTCTAAGTATTCCTTCTTTTTCTTCTTCTTTTTCCTTCTTGTCAGTCCGGATTATCAATAAGAGCTCTTTCCTTAAGTATAGTGACACATAAAAGGCAATAAGAAGGGCTTATGCAAGAGAAACTCTCCTCACATGTTCATGAAGGACAGGGCTTTTTACGGAACAGGATATGCAGGGAAATGGCTCATATTTGGCAGAAGTTTTAACGCAACTGCTTTTTTTGATAATACTGGTAAAAACGTATGATAAATCTGTTGCACACTGTAATTGCAGCTTTTTTGTGCCTCATTGTGTTGACGTAATTCAGGGGCTTTTTGTAAATAACCAGAAAAGTATGTGTAAAAATTGAAATCAAAACGTGGGCTATGTGTTTTTTTGTATTTGGTCCTTAAGAGTACATAACACATTCGGTTAACTTTACCTCAATTTCTTTTAAACCTTTTTTTCTTTACATTTTTAGTCAAATACACTAATACTTGTGTGTTTTAAAGTGATTTCCATTACAAACTTCTCATAAGTGTCCTTACCTATCCATTAAAAAACAACAACAACAAAAAACTTTGGCATCAGTTTTTAAATGTGTTTTTTGTACTTGTTGGTTGACCTGCACCATGTACTGTTATTTAGAATTATTATGATTCCATCATCAATTTTGAGTGTTCACAGTTCATTTGACTTCACAAAAACATTTCTTATTAACAAAAACAGTTTATTTCTTATAGTGTAAAACTTTTTTATGATTATTATTACTAAACTACTGAATGCGTTGTTACCATGAACGAATGCAGCTTTGTGATTTATCGTAAAACAATTTTGTGCTTTTACAGATTACTTTTACTTGTACAGTTTTATTAACATACCAAACCAACATCACAGAATTCGCAGAAAAGCTGACTGTGGTCTTGCTTCAGGTTGCCTGCGTTTGGGCTTAAAAAGCTTGAATGTGCAGCACTACAAAGGCTGCAGCCAACAAATTGTATCTGCTTTACAGGAAAAAAGCTCTCTATACCAGCAGGTGTCGGTAGTCTATATTTGTCAAAAAGGGATTTCAATAGTACTGCAGATATACAAAAAGTAAAGCAGCTCTTGCTTGCCTTTTTGAATGTGAATTATACTGATCACAGTGAGATCATTATGAATGTATTTGTGCTTTGGAATAATCAGATTAGATTATATAAAATTAGAACAGTTTGTGCCACCTTGACTTTTGTATCACTTTTATCACTTCAACTTTTCTCTTTGTGAATTGACTTATCAGTCAGACTTCTCTCTCTCACTAACAAAGCAAATGGGTGGCAATTCAACACGCTTAATCGACTAAAAAGGCCTTCAAGTGGTCCAGCTAGTGTGGATTTTGTGGAACACACCTCAACAATAGGGTCTACACTCAAACCTTTAAACTAATGAGAAAGAAATAATCCATTACAATCTTAAGTCACTTTTTTAAGGATCTAAACACAGTTCTTATTAGGGCTGCGTGATTCATCAAAATTGAATAGCAATCGTGATTAGAAAAACTGGGAATCGCTAATTGCAGGAGGCTGCAATATAATATATATATATGGCTAGTAAGACTAAATTTTATATATATATATATATATATATATATATATATTTAGTCTTACTAGCCAATTGAGTGAGCACACTTTCGTTCTGCCCAATAAAATAATTGTGCAACTGAACTATGCGGAAAGCCCACAATAAAACAAACAGGAAAGTGCAGACAAGTAGGAGGATGGCGTCTGCCGCTTCAGAAGCATTAATAGACAAATTCATGTATTAAAAAACAACATGTCGATAATATGGGAATATTTTGGTTGCAAAGTCACACACAATAAACAAAAACATTTTTTTTTGTAAAAGCTGTCGCAGATTTTTTTGACACAGCATGAGGAAATACAACAATCAGCACCTAAAATTGTACCACAGACACTATATGAGGAGTGTGTTGCAAAAAAAGTCACCTAAAAGTATTGCCAGTGACACTCAATCTAGTAGCTAGCAACAGAGTTTGCAGCTGTTACACCAAAAAACAAAATGTTTTATAAAAGTGTTTAATTTCTGAATATTTCTAAACAAATTTGAATAAAAGTTGGAGTAATTTAATATAATTTTAATATAGCAGTAATTTAATATAGCACTTTTACAATGTAGATTGTGTCAAAGCAGCTTTACATAAAAGATCATAGTAAATTCAAACAGTTTAAATCAGTTTTCAGTGTTTAAGTTCAGTTCCATTTAGCTTAGGTCAGCGTGGTTTAATAATCACTATAGAGTACAAACTCTGAAGAGCAATCCATCGATGCACAGCTCTACAGACCCCAAACCTTCCAAGCCAGTGGCGACAGCGACAAGAAAAAAACTTCACCAATTTGCAAAAGTGAAGAATTAAAAAAAACTCGAGAGAAACCAGGCTCAGTTGGGCACGACCATTTCTACCTGATATTGCTATAATTGTTTTAACACCATCATTGCCATCTCTCTTGTTGTCTTTTTTATAGCTGGAAATGAAGAAGAGGAGGGTCTGGCAGCAGTAAAGAAGATTCAAGAAGAGTTGAATCAGGGAAAAGGTAAAATACTTTCAAAGCTACATTTTTAGTGTGAAAAAAGGCTGTGTGAATTCCCAGGCACTGTCATGTCTACACCCTCCTCCATCAGTGATCCTGACCTTTACGTTCTCCTTGAGGTGATGATTTACTCCGCAATGACCTGATACCAGTTAACTAGCAGCAAAACAGGCTCATTTTTCTCGCCGTGTTTGGACTGGTCTGTTTACTGGAAGAATGTGTGTGAGAGCAAGCAGAAGAATACCAAGAGTGATGTTTGATGATTGCCTTCGCTGAAGAACCGTAACCTCATTGTAATGCAGATAGGATATTGAGAGCTGCAGTTGGGATGAAGGCGCGCTCGCTTCCCTGCGGTATCCACCCTTCCCCCCATGTGGATTTTCAACTGCTAGGCGAGAACAGGCCCGTCAGTTTTTACTCTTAGCTTTCATCATTGGGCTATTGAAGTTGAGAAATAACGCACCAAAGGGAATCTGTCCTTCTGCCCTTATCTAGGGTCAGTTTGTGTTAAACCATAACCTTAAATGCCAGTTTCGAAATTGGTCTTGATTCAGAGGCGAAAATGTCTGATGTGCTAACAAGAAACAAGGCTTTCAAAACAAGCAAAGGCTTGGCTGGAGGTCTGTTTGCGTTCGTATGTGTGTGAGGCTTTATGCTCAGTGTGATCTGTCATTGTACGCCACTAAGCCGGTCTAATAATGACACTTGATAGCTTTTAAGATGGTTACAATCACCTAATGAGGATAAGACATCGCATCTAGTTAAACAGAGGAGTTGATTTAGTAAAACAAGATAGACTGCGCTGACAAAGATAAGACATGCAATTATAATGGGCTCAGAATGCTCTATGAGAACTTCAAAGTCAAGCAGCTGTCTTATTTAACATGTTTACAGTTGTTTGTTTTTTTTTTTTTGTTTTTTTTTTGGACAGTCTGAATGTTGCCCTGCCTGGGTTATTAAAATTGATTGCTGTGCCAGGATGATGCTGCTTTATAAGCAATTTGGGGCAAAAACAAGGTCATACATGAACATGTTTACCACAAAAGTTTCCTTGACAGTAGTTTGCCACAATAATTTGCGCTAAAAATTGCCAGAAATGTTTTGCATCATTATGGCACATGCTTCTGTTGATTAGGAAGTTAGATGAATTAAATGTTACATGAATGCAGTGGCATGCTAATACTATCATAATGACATGACAGCAATAGAAGCCATAGTATTTCAGATAGTTGCAGTCTAACAGGGCATTGCATCACAGACAGTGAGACATCTTGTGTTGCAAGAACGAATGCTATTACTAAAGTAAGAAACCCAATTAAAGGGATAATTTACCCGAAAATGGAATTTCTGTCATCATTTCCTTGTTCATTACTTTATTCTTTCAAACAAGTTGTTTTGACGAATGCTAGTTAATTTTACCCCTTTGACTTTCTTAGTATTTTTTTTTTTTTACTATGGATACCATCAACCGACATTTTGCAAAATATCATGTTCAACAGAAGAAAGAAGCCTATAAAAGTTAAAATTGATAAGAGGAAGAGTAACCGGTGAGGTAATTTCGATCACATTATAATAGCTAAAGTGATAACCTAAAAAAAATAGTTCTCCAGATGTTTTTACCAACATTTATGAACTGAAAAAAATGTTTATTTCTTACAGATAGCATTGATGTAAAACAAATAGGGTGATTGCATGTGTTTTAAAGATGTCAGAGCTGTTTAACAGGTTACTCGTATACCATTTTATAGGGGTGTGACGACACGCTTACTCCATGAGATGAGACACAAGATTTTCACGAGGCGAGACGAGATTTATTATTATTATTATTTTTTTAAAATCTTCAATTATGAAATATTTGAATAGAAAGTAGTTCTTTATTAAACAAAAAAAATGCAAATTGCAAAACTTTAGGTGCTTTTTTTTAAATCAATTTGAAATGACTGTTACTCTACTTCTGTTTTAATGAATTCAATTGAATGCAGTAAAGCACATGAAAACACTACAAAATGTTTTTCTAATAGCAGATGTGAATAGAAAATATATAATTCTTACATATAATTTTAAATATTAGCACAATATTTGCTAATATATGAAAAGAAAATAGATTTTAATTCAACTGCAAAGAAAAATAAATAAATAAATCAAAAACTGCAAAATAAGTTTAAAAAAAATCTAACGAATGTTATTTTATTTCTATTTGTATTAATTCTAATTGTAAAGGACATGCAAACACTGCTAAATATTTAGCTATAAACACTACTGACTGAATGTGATGCAATTTGATATGCAGGCCGAATGGAAAAAAGGAAAAAAAAAAAAAAAACTTTAGCTTTTCCCAGGCAGCATAAACGTGTGTTCAGTGATCATGTGATGATGACCAGACTCGGAAGGTGCAGAGAAAAGTGTCAAACAGCCATGTTTGTATGTCACAAAATGCGACTAAAGGTCCTTCACAATGTTAATAGTTTGATTCAGGTGTTTACATGTCTGTACTGCACTTAACTTAATACAAAAATGCTCCACGTCTTAATTCCATCTGTGTTTATGACGATTATGACTTTAAACATATCTGACACGTGCAACTCTGAGGCCAGCCTGGGATGCCAAGTGTGCGGAAAGCACTTGATATGCAGTTTAAATGTAATCCTGCCTCTGATCTTCAATGCTAATTTCACCATCACGCTCTATCATAACATTACACCTAACGAGACAACTTTTCACCTCGACGAGAAATCTCGTTACGATTTAATCTTGCGAGATCTCATCTTACGATGAAGAAAAGTGTATTAAACTATTAACATTATTAAACTATTAACACCAAAGTCTCTCCGCCCATCTGAGGGTGCTGCAGCTGAAGGAAAAGACCAGTTTATACAGCTTGACTCTGGACACTGAGATTCTTACAGAAATTAAAATAAAAATGAACCTTCCATACTCTAGTGGTTGGGTCACAATTATCTGACGTGGATGACCAGTGTCCTGCAGATTTTAGCTCCAACTCTAATTAAAATCACCTAAAAAAGCTAATCAATGTCTCACTATGTATACTTGAAAGGAGTACCATTTTTATTCATAGCCAAACTGCAGGGGGTGCCAACAGCTATTTACTTTGGAATTTTAATTGAATTATTTCTAAAAAGTTTCATTAAAAGTGTATTCAAAATGAATATTGTTATCACAGTTAACAAATTATGAAGGTGTAAAATAAGAGGCTTTTAAATTAGGCTCTATTAAAGGGACAACCAAATATGAAAATGTACTCACTATTTATTCCCCTCTAGCGGTTCCCAACCTTTAGGAGTTTCTTTATTCTGTTAACATAAATCAATATTATTTGAAAAAAGCTAAAAACCTGTAAACATTTACTTCCATAGTAAGAAAAATACTATATGAAAGTCAATAGTTACAGGTTTCCAACATTTTTCAAAAGAATTAATTTTGTTTAACAGACGAAAGAAACGCATACATGTCTGAAACAAGTAAATGATGACGGAATTTACATTTTTAGGTAAACTATCCCTCAATCGGTGGTCTTGTGTGCATTTCTGCTGAAGATATGTAAACATGCAGTACCCAGCATTAAGCTGCCGTCATAGTTTTTGCGTGCAAAATTCTGTTGGATGGCACTACGAAAAGGGGCGAGATTAAACAAGATGATTAGACATTAAAAAAAGCATACGATTGCTCCATATTTTAAATTTAATTACAGAGATTTCAGGTTTTGATCTATAATTGGTCTCACGCAGTTAAGTGATGTGATTTCACAGGATAGAGTTCACAAAGCTTGAACTTTCCAACGCATCGAACTGTAAAACTCGACACACGAGCTTGCGTTTCTGGTCTGACTCATTTGCGTGCATATCAATGGAAGTCTATGAGGAGTAAAGTGCAGTGTGACTGCAGCTTTACTCACAGTATGTCTATTATTAATTTAAAAATCCAATAATAGAAATGCTTCACTCTGCAGAATCTGCTTAATTGTAGTTTTGGATTGAAGTTCTCACATTGCACAACTGTCTGGGGTACCAATTTAGTGTGTTCACACTTGGTAGTGCTTATTTGATTAGAACACACTCTGGTACCACTACACTTGTTCTAATTGAACAGTTAAATTGAATAACTTAGAATGCTGCCATCCAAACCCTGGTGTACACCACAGAAGTGGATCAACTGTACACTTTTCTTGTTTGGACTGGTCCAAATAAACCACGAGAAACAAGTGTGAACATATTCTTATATATGTTGTGTGCACACTACAAAAGAGATCGGTGACAGGGCACTTCAGTGGAAAATAAAATAACAGCAAATTCCTTTCCTTGTTTTCAGAACTCTTTCACAGTGAGATTGCATGTGAGACAGGACTTCTTGCACAAGACTTAGCTGTTTAATTCATGTCAAACATATTAGCCCACAAGATTCAGGTTGTCTATGCACTGATTTACAATGGAAAAATTTACAAAATGCATACTCAAAATGTGAAAGACCGTATTTTCTATAATGTGAATGAGCAGTGACTTACCTTAGTATTTTGGCCATTTGGAAGTGATTTCCAGAAAGCTGTTAGTAAGTAAAGGTTGAGGCTGTAACCATGCAGTTTGTACCTGGTCAGTTATCTTTGAATTAAAGGCATGGGTCACACAAAAATCAAAATGTAGTCACCCTCAATTGGTTACAAACCATTATGGGTTTCTTTATTCTATTAAATACATAAGAAGATATTTTGAAGAAATCTGAAAACCATTGTCTTCCTTAGTGGGAAAAAACATATATAATGGAAGCCAATGGCTACAGGTTTTAGGCAATCTTCAAAATATCTTCTTCTATATCGGACAGAATAAAGAAGCTTGTAAAGATTTGGAACCACTTGAGGGTGAATAAATAGTTAGTAATGTTTATTTTTAGGTGATCTCTTTAAGGCCTCATCTGTATTCAAACAGAATTTGATATGTATGTATGAGATGTGTTTTAAAGCATTTGAAACATATGTTTGGCTTGTGATTATT